CTGGGGGAAGGGCCGGGAGGGGGAGGGGAGTCCAACTGTGGGTATGTCTGCCCTGCAGCATGGGGGCGTTCCAATGAGCTGAGTGTTTTCCTGGGGCACTGCAAGCCCCCTGCCTTCCAGGGGCTTGTGGGGCGGAGAAGTCCGACGTGCCCGCTGCCTCCGGGGGACTGAGATGCCGGTGAGGTGCCCTGGCAAACCTCAAGGGCAGCGAAGTTGCTGGGTGTCAAGGAACCTTTGCTTGGCTCCTGTACCCTGCAGCATGGGGGCGTTCCAATGAGCTGAGTGTTTTCCTGGGGCACTGCAAGCCCCCTGCCTTCCAGGGGCTTGTGGGGCGGAGAAGTCCGACGTGCCCGCTGCCTCCGGGGGACTGAGATGCCGGTGAGGTGCCCTGGCAAACCTCAAGGGCAGCGAAGTTGCTGGGTGTCAAGGAACCTTTGCTTGGCTCCTGTAAGAGCATAATCCTTGTGGGAACCCCTCCCCCATTTACTGATGAGCAGGGGCCCTGGGTCTGGCGCCAGCATGGCGGGAAGGTCTGATCACGGAGGGGGGCAGGATTCCAATCTAGGGGCTGGAGCAGGAGCTGGGCTCTGATGCTTGGCTTTGGGCCACTTGCTTAGCCTCTCCAGGGCTCCCCAGCTGAGACTCCAGGGAGCCCTGTGCCCCTAGGACGCCTCTTCCCAGGGCCAGCAGCTAGGGCGGAAGGGCGCCCAGCAGCCCCGAGGGTGGTGCCCAGAGCAGCGGGCGAGATGGGAGCACCTCTGTCCCAAAGGCCACTCGCCAGCCTTTCCACGGGACGTGCAGTGGAGGCTCAGTGGGACGTGAGCTCCCAGGGAGACGCGGTCGCCAGAAGGGCCGGGATGCGGACGCAGGGGGCCGGGCGTGGGCGCAGAGGTGGGTTTACCTCTGGGTTTGGCGCTGGGGCGCAGTGCTCAAGTCCTGTGCCAGTCTGGTGCCCGCAGTCCAGGATGGATGCTGACCTGTTGGAGAAGGCTCAGAAGAGCCGGGAGGGACCCTGCCCTAGAGAGACTCACGGCTCCAGCTAAAGGGGCCTTGGCCCTAGTGGCTACAGGCGGAGCGGGAGGAGAGGACTCAGGTGGCCCAGAGACAGCGACAGCGCGGCCCAGGGGCTGAAGCGACAGCCAGGCAGGGTCGGACACGGGGGCAGCTCCCCGGGCCGTGGCGGATGCTCCATCGCAGAGTGGGACTACGTCAAAGCTGGACCTTCCGAACACGTCTGCTGCGGGCTGGCTCCGGGCCAGGCCTCCAGCCTGTTACGCAGGAGGCCGGACGAGATGGCGCCGTGGTGCCTGCTGGCCTTGGACCCTAGCGAGGCTGCAGCGTGAGCCCTGACCCCGGGCGCGGGACCCCCCCCCCCCCCCAGCGTTTGACCGACCCCCATGGGGAGAGCGCCGTGCCGCACAGCGCCCCCGCGGGACAGTCTCCTGTGGTGGGGGCTAGGGCTGGCACCTGCTGTTGCCAGGGAGACGGCGCCGGAGGGCCTTTGCTGCGCTCCCTTGGCGCTCTCCTCCGCCGCCGGCCGCCCGCGTGTTGTGTGAAGCCCCTCCTGGGCGCAGCGGCAGGCAGGTCGTGTCACTGGGCTGCCCGGCACGGCCTGTGCTGCTGGGCCTCCGCGTTGGGGTAGGAAAGGTCGGGAGCAGGCGTCTTCTCCCTCGTCCCCGCAGCCGCCGGCAGCGCCCTCCTCTGGCCAGCGCTCCGCCTGCAGGGCCCAGGAGGGGTTCCCGGTCGATGCTGGGCCCAGCGTAACGCCCATCCCGGCTGGCTCCTGCGCCGTGCCCGACTGGGGCGAGCCATTCACTCCAGCAGCCGTGACCCCTGGTGCCTGTTCTCCACAAGCCGGATGCGGGAGCGGTGTCCCTGGGATGGGGTCAGGCCGGAGCTATGTAGCCTCTGCCCTTCACCGTTAACCCTATCGATTGCCCCCCTCGCGTGGGACGTTTGCTACAGCAAGGGCAGGGGGGTTCCATCGGTGTCCTAAAGCCACGGCTCAGGCGTGGCCCGAGGGAAGAATTCTGCCATCCACCCTCCAGCAGAGCCGTGGGTGGCCGTGCTGCGGCGCACAGGGCCTGACCGTTTTCGCAGCCTGAGCAACGTAGCTGGGGAGAGCAGGGCTCAGCCGCCGGTTCCCGCTGGTGTCAGCCTCTGTTCTCTGCCCTCGGGGGGGCTCTCGCCACAGGGGGCGGCTGGTCCCCAAGGCTATTGGACCCATCTCCCGGCTTTGCCGCGCCTCCCCGCTGGTTCATGCCGCTGGCTGGTTGTCGGCCCTTCTGGGAAGTGAAGCGACGACGTCACATCCCGACAACAGGACCTTGAGCTCTTTGTCCACGTCCTTCCTGCACCGCTTCAGACCAGCCCTGCCTGTTCGCCTGGCTCGTTGTTGGGCTCTTACCAAGCGCCCCCAGAGCCCATCACTGCAGGGCCTCTGGTTACAGTCAGAGCTCATGCCGCTGGCTGGTTGTCGGCCCTTCTGGGAAGTGAAGCGACGACGTCACATCCCGACAACAGGACCTTGAGCTCTTTGTCCACGTCCTTCCTGCACCGCTTCAGACCAGCCCTGCCTGTTCGCCTGGCTCGTTGTTGGGCTCTTACCAAGCGCCCCCAGAGCCCATCACTGCAGGGCCTCTGGTTACAGTCAGAGCCGTGGGCCCGCAGAGCACTGACGTCAGTTCTGTCATTAGCTGGGGGGGGCCTGGGGAGGGGGGCGAGAGGCTGGCGGGGCCCGCCGCCGCCCGGGG